CTCTTAGCTTCAGACTCTGTATCCAACAGTATAATAAGACATAGTAGATATCTGGAAGGTCCACTGGCACTCCAAGTTCACAACACCACGAGCCAAATATCCCTCTTTTCTCCAAAGCTTGGTCCTTCCTATATTCCTCTCATTAAGGGTGGCATCTTTTGACTCAAGCCAGAATAGCAGGAACTGTCCTTCACAACTTCCCTCTCCCTCAGGCCCAAATTGAGTCCATCATCATTTCCTAGTGCTTCACCTCAATGAATAACCTAAAGTCAAACTTCTTCCCTCCACCTGTACACTTGTCCTGAGCCATCATTCTTCTTACATAGCCTACTACCTGCCTCTTCTCATGCCACCTTCCTTAATTTTTCCCACAAAGTAGCCAACATGATTTCAGAAAACACAGATAAGATGTTACTCCGCTGCTCAAAACACTCCAATAAGAGACATATTTTGTTTGTGTATGGGAAGGTTAAAATAAGAAAGTGGTGATGCTTCCCCAATCTCCTCCGAAGATGAGCATTCCATATATTGATATATATAGTCACTCTTGCTCTTTCTATCATTTGGGTTAAAATGAGATAACCTTAGCACTGAAAGGTTGAAGTTTAGGCCGGGCGCGGTGGCTCACGCCTGTAATCCTAGCACTCTGGGAGGCCGAGGCAAGCGGATTGCTCATGGTCAGGAGTTCGAAACCAGCCTGAGCAAGAGTGAGACCCCGTCTCTACTATAAATAGAAAGAAAATTAATTGGCCAACTAATACATATATAAAAAAAATTAGCCGGGCATAGTGGCGCATGCCTGTAGTCCCAGCTACTCGGGAGGCTGAGGCAGCAGGATTGCTTGAGCCCAGGAGTTTGAGGTTGCTGTGAGCTAGGCTGACGCCACGGCACTCACTCTAGCCTGGGCAACAAAGTGAGACTCTGTCTCAAAAAAAAAAAAGAAAAAGAAAAAGAAAGGTTGAAGTTTAAATCCCTGGGCCCTAATAATTTGCAAAGGTGAAGTATCCTCATAGTTGAGAATGTGAGGGGGAAATGGGCTTTATTGTCTTCTTTCTCAAGAATTGGGAAGTTGAAATCCTTTTAGATTTCTCCCAACCCTGCTTGTTCTTTGTCCTAGTCCAGTCTGATTCAAGAATCTTGGCTTTAGCAGGCAAAGGGCTTTGACTACATCCAAATACAGATGTGCTCCCCAGCAGGAAAGCCCAGCATTCAGACTGGAACTTCACCATCAGCTTCACTGGGACTCCAGCTTGCCAAGTGTAGGTCTTGGGACCTGCAAGGCTCCATAATCACATGAGCCAATTCCCCTATAATAAATCCCTTTGTATCTATCTGTCTGTCTTAGTCCGTTTGTATACTTGAGACTGGATAATTAATAAAGAAAAAAGATTTATTTGGCTCACGATTCTGCTGGCTGGAAGATTGGGCATCTGGTGAAATCCTTGGGCTGCTTCATGGCAGAAGGTGCAGGGATGCTGGTGTGTGCAGAGATCACATGGCAAGAGAGGAAAGAAGAGAGATGGGAGGTGTTAGTCTCTTTTTTACAACTAATTCTAATAGGGTCTAATAAAGAGAGAACTCACTCATTACTATGAGGATGGCACCAAGCCATTTATGAGGGATCGGTCCCCATTGACCCAAGCACCCCTGTTTATGCTCCATCTCCAACCCTGGGGATCAAATTTCATTATGAGGCTTGGGGGCACAAACATCCAAACTATAGCACTATCGTCTGAGCACTATCGTCTGAGAGAGAGAGAGAGAGAGAGAGAGAGAGAGAGAGAGAGAGAGAGAGAGAGACATCAATCTACATCCTGTTAGTTCTTTTTCTTTGGAGAACTCTAATACACCCAGTCAGCCACTGACTCCGTGGCCACTAAGCCGGACACCAGACTCACTCTGGTCGCGAAGATAGGGCGTGCTCTCGCGAGCTGGGAAGGTCTCCTTTGCGCGGGCTCCAAGAACCCGCCCCCGCGCGACCGCCCAAAGCAGAGGAAACCTTGGCAACAGGTCTAGTACGTGGAAAAAGCCCTTCCCTTGCCTGGGATTGGCTGTGGGCAGGGATGAGTGTAACCGTGTAAACAATCCTGAAGGGAAACCAGTTTCCTGCCTTTATCCAGTTCTGTATGAGGCTCCCCAAGTATAAGCTGGACAGGAGAGCATTTCCCTTCTCAGCCTCACATTTGGAACCCTGAAAGGAAGACGATGGGTCACAGGATGCACTCACTGAGCAGATGTATCAACAAAATAATCAATTCTGCTTGACTTTGGAGTGCACTCTGGGTATGTGTGTGTGTGTGTGTGTGTGTGTGTGTGTGTGTGTGTGTGTGTATGTATGTATCACATTACATAATATACAGGTAGTCAAAAGATATGGGTATCTATCCAAAGGAAAAAAAGACATCCGCACTTGATAGTTTATAACAGCACAATTCACAATGGCAAAGATGTGGAAACAACTCAAGTGCCCATCAACACATGAGTGGACTAATAAAATGTGGTATATGTATATCACAGAGTACTACTCAGCCATAAAAAAATGACAAACTACCCATTGTATTATCCTGGATGGAGATGCAACTCGTTCTTCTAAGTGAAGTATCACAAGAATAGAAAAACAAATGCCATATGTACTCAAAATTAATTTAGTACTAATTGGTCAACACTAACGTGCACATATGGGAAATAACATTCACAGGGTATTTATTGGGCAGGTAGGAGGGGGGAGAGGATGGGTAAATCGACACGTAATGAGGATGGTGCGCGCTGGGCATGCTTGTCGGGTGGTGCAAAGGCAATTTATGTAACCAAAGCATTTGTACCCCTGTAATTCTCTGAAATAAAAAAAATAAAATTAAAAAGAAAAAATAAAGAATATGTGCTGGTCAACTGGGTGTATTAGTCAGGGTTGTTCAAAGAAACAGAACAAACTGGATGTAGATATCATTATCTATGTATTTATATATATATTTCCATCTATATTTAGATGGCTAGAAAATAGACAGTTGATAGATACAAAGATATGAAGAGATTCACTATAAGGGAATTGGTTCACATGATTACGGAGGCTGGGATAAGTCTTGGGTAATAGTAATGGCCCAGCACACTATATAGTTATTGGAATATTAAACAACAACCCTTTAAGGCAGTTTCTATTATTATTCCCATTTGAAATATAAGAAAACTTGCCAAGCGACAGACCCAGGAGAACTGATGGTGAAGTTGTAGTCCCAATGCCAGAGAAAGCCAGTGTCCCAGCTCCCAGGCAGCCAGGCAGGAGGAGTCTCTTCTTACTTGTGGGAGGGTAAGCCCTCTTGTTCCTATTCAGCCCTTCAACTGATTGGATGAGGCCTACCCACAGTGCACAGGGCAATCTGCTTTACATGGTTGACCAACTGAAATGTTAATCTCATCCAAAATCACCTTCCCAGACACACCCAGAGTAATGTGTGACCAAATTCCTGGGAATCCTGTGGCCCAGTCAAATTGATACATAAAATTAACCATCATACTAGGTTTACCTGCTCAAAATGGAATGTCTGACTTTAGACAGAATTTCAGCATTTACAGCCATCAGCCGTGCAGAACATTGGCAGAAAGGAGGAAAGAAGATGGGTTAGAAGGGGAAAGAAGTGAAAAATAAGGGAGGAAGATAAAGGTGGGCAGAACGGTGGAAAGGGTGGAGAGGGAATGAATAAGAGAGAATAAAATTGACAGAAGAGTAGGGTAGAAGGAATGTAAATCAAGACCTAGGGTGCAAAGACCTGAAGAGAGAGGTGCCAACTTTACCTCAATCCTTTTTCCCTCACCCTGTGTAGCCCACCACTTCCTAGAGGCCTCCCAGGCCAATTGTCCTGAATTCAGGAACCAAGCTAACAGAGGAGAGACCTGCAGGCATCTCCAATTTCTCTCTAGTGAGCACAGTATCCCTGATACACAGTCACCTCCCCAGTTCTCCTAGGAGGGCAAAGTGAGGTGCCTGCCTTTCCTCTTGCCTGGAGGTCTCTCCAGCTCAATGTAGCCTAGGTAAATGCAGGGACGCAGGGCAGGTAAAGTCCTGCATGTGTGTCTCCCTGAGAACACAGACACACGTCTTCATTGATGGAGGCTTGGTCTGGAATGGTGGCGATGAGTTCTTGGACAACACATCTTTGTGCAGGGCACCGTGCTTTCAAAAGTGGAGACAGGCTTGGCTGGGAGGGGAGGTAAAGTGTTGGCTCACACAAATTTAAACTCATGCTGGATCAGAAGGAGACTTGCTCACCCCCTGGGAAGTATCTCAGCCCCCTCCTTTCCCTGATATAATTTTGCCTGCGAGTAATCTCTCTTCGACCACCTGGACATCTCTATCCTCTGGGCAATTAAGAATCCCACTCACACCTGCCATGGGAGGTCATAGCCAAGTATCTGTTACTCCACAGCAGGCGTCCTCAAACTATGGCCCACGGGCCACATGCAGTTGTTTTTGCCCATTTGTTTTTTAACTTCAAAATAAGATATGTGCAGTGTGCATAGGAATTTGTTCATAGTTCTTTGAAAACTATAGTCTGGCCCTCCAACGGTCTGAGGGACAGTGCACTGGCCCCCTGTTTAAAAAGTTTGAGGACCCCTGCTCTACAGATTTGTAGGAGAGGTCTGGCTTCCCTTGCCCCCAAAATCTTGAATCAAAGGAATCCAGAGCTCTCTCTCCCACTTTGGATTTCAGCTGCTGTGGAGCTGTGTTCTCAGCTCCCATTCCATGAGAAGCACAGTCCCCTACCCGCCATCACCTCATTTCATCTTCCTATCAGCCCTGGGAAGTGAGTGTTAGGATCACCATTGTACACATGAGGTTCAGACAGCTGCCTGAAGTCACAGCGCCAGCATGTGGCGGAGTTGGAATTTGAATCCCTTCAATCTGTGTTCAGTGTGTGTTCCTACCCAGCCAGGCAGCCTCCCACACCTCTCCCGCCCCACCCCAACCCCCTGCCTCATCACTCCATCTTGTGATCTGCCTCAGACTCAAACCCAGAGCTGTCTGACTTCAGTGCCTTTGCTTTCACTTAGTTATTCCCAAGATCTGAAGTCAGGGCCTCTTTTGTGTGGTTGGCCATGAACGGATGCGCTTTCTGTGTCCAGGTTCTTGATTTTTGTCCTGTCTTCCAGCAGCAAGCACAGCACTTCTTCCTGGACAAATAGGCAATGTAGCAAAATACTTTCCTCTCTTCTTTTCCATTGAGACCAATTGTCTTTTTTTTTTATTTCAGCGTATTGTTGGGGTACAAGTGTTAGGGTTATGTATATTATACCTTCCCCCCTCCCCCTTTGAGACAGAGCCTCAAGCGTGACCATCCCCCAAATGTTGCACATCTCACTCATTGTGTTTCTATATACCCATCTCCTCCTCCCCGACCACCTGCCTGACACCCCATAAATGCTATTCCTATATGTCCACTGAGGTGTTGATCCGTTAATACCAATTTGCTGGTGAGTACATGTGGTGCTTGTTTTTCCATTCTTGAGATACTTCACTTCACTTAGTAGAATGGGTTCCAGCTGTATCCAGGAAAATACAAGAGGTGCTATATCACCATTGTTTCTTAAAGCTGAATAGTACTCCATGGTATACATATACTACATTTTATTAATCCACTCATGAATTGATGGGCACTTGGGTTGTTTCCACAACTTTACAATTGTGAATTGTGCTGCTATATACATTTGAGTGCAGGTGTCTTTTTCATAAAGTAGCTTTTGATCTTTTGGGTAGATGCCCAGTAGTGGAATTGCTGGATCAAATGGTAGATCTACTTGTATCGCTTTAATGTATCTCCATATTGATTTCCACAGGGGTTGAACTAGTTTGCAGTCCCACCAGGAGTGTAGGAGTGTTCCTCTCTCTTTGCATCCACGCCAACATTTATCATTTGGGGACTTTTGATAAAGGCCATTCTCACTGGAGTTAAGTCATATCTCATTGTGGTTTTGATTTACATTTCCCTGATGATTAGAGATGCTGAACATTTTTTCATATGTTTGTTGGCCATTATTCTGTCTTCTTTTGAGAAGTTTCTCTTCATGTCCTTTGCCCATTTTTTGATAGGGTTGTTTCATTTATTTCTTGATGATTTTCCTGAGTTCTAAATAGATTCTAGTTATCAGCCCTTTATCAGATGTGTAGCTTGCAAAAATTTTCTCCCATTCTGTGGGTTGTCTGTTTGCTCTCTTGACAGTTTCTTTGGCTATGCAGAAGCTTTTTCATTTGATCAGGTCCCATTTGTTTACTTTTGTTGCTGTTGTGATTGCCTTTGGGGTCTTCTTCATAAATTCTTTGCCTAGGCCAATGTCTAGAAGAGTATTTCCAACATTTTCCTCTAGAATTCTAATAGTTTCACACTTAAGGTTCAAGTCTGTTACCCAGCGTGAGTTGATTTTTGTCAGAGGTGAAAGGTGTGGGTTTTGTATCAGTCTTCTACATGTGGCTATCCAGTTTTCCCAGCACCATTTATTGAATAAGGATTCTTTTCCACAGTGGATGTTTTTGTCTGCTTTGTCGAAGATTAGTTGGCTATATGAGGATGGTTTTATATCTGGGTTCTCTGTTCTGTTCCACTGGTTAATGTCCCTGTTCTTGTGCCAGTCCCAAGCTCTTTTAATGACTATAGCCTTGTAGTATAGTTTGAAGTCTGGTAAATTGTCTTCTCTGGTTCCATATGAAGCGTAAACTTATTTTTTCTATATCTGTGAAAAATGATGATGGTATTTTGATAGGGATTGCATTGACTCTATAGGTCATTTTGTGTAGTATAGACATTTTAACAATGTTGATTCTGCACACCCATGAGCATGGTATATTCTTCCAACTGGGGGATGTTTTAAAAAGAAAACACCTTGTTGCCTTTTGTTTATCAGTCATTCTCTCTGATCCAAGGCTGGTCTAGAAATCCTGGCCTCAATCGATCCTCCCACCTTGGGTCCCAGAGTTCTAGCATTACAGGAGTTCTAGCATTACAGGAGTGAGGCTAGCC